CTGAGCAAGCTTTGCCGAGGAACTGGTGCGCTGGAAGCAATTCAATAAGGAGGAAGAGGAGGAGGCTTGGGAATCGTGCCTGTCTCGATGCGGGAGGGTCGGCTGAGTTCGGAACGATTTACGCGATCGGGCTCGCATCTGGACGAAGGCCGAGGGGAAGAGGGGAAGACATGGCGTGCTGTTGGATGCTAACATGAAATTCTCACCTGATAGGGGCGCCTTCTCCTCCTGGAACAACCGGTTCGTGTCTTCACATCCTCGAGCCACTCCGACGACGTCCTCGCGGTCGAACCTTCCACTCGGGAAACCTTTCGCTCCACCGCTTGGAGACGCGAGTTCTTTGAGCACCGTCGAATCTCTACTGCGCGCGCCTCAGAATCGCGAACAGGGGGCAGGCTTCGAGCTGTAACGCGGAAACGAGCTCTCTGCCCGAAAACAATCGCTCTGTCTCGATTCGAGGCCCGGATTTGCAGACAAGATCCAAACTCGCCCAGAATGACTCAACGGAGACATTGAAATCAAAGTACTTGTCGCTGGAGCGCATCGGGGTATGGATGGTGCGCCGAAGCCCAATCAATACGTCGCGGGGAAAAGGATCCCGGAACGAGTTCTGTGGAAAGGCCGGTCACCCTGCAGAGGACTCCAGTCGCTCGGAACCGAAAGGTCCTCCAGGGAATTCTGTGCGAATAGAGGTTCTGCGCACGCGGAGCTTCTGGACGATGAGGCGGAATACGCCGGTCGATCTAGCTATTTCGGGAGCTTCCTTTCAACCAGGAGACCTCACCAGCCCAACGCTAAGAACGGCAGTCAGCAGGAGTTCGTATGAGAAAGGATATTTCGGAAATGAGGGGCATTGCCTCGAGCTCCGCTTTTGCGCTCACTCGCGAAGAGTCTAGGATTACGAACAGCTGTCGTAGTGGCAGCTGTCGGACAAGCGCGTGGAATGGACAGTCAAGAGTTTAATCCGAGGAACGAAAACCTGCTCCTACTCCAGGCACGGCGTGCGACCATCGAAGACCTGATCGTTCACCGAGGAATCTTACTCTATCTGCTTACTCGGCATGAATCGAAAGGAAAATATCTCCTATGAGGGATTAGGCTCTGTCCTCATTGCATTACAGAGGATGTTACACAACTCCTTACACAATATTCAGCATCCCTTTTCCTGAAGCCCAGTGCCCAACGGTGGGGACTCTTATTCGATATCAGTCTCTCCTCCATCTTAATAAGCAAAGTCTCTCCCATGAATCCGTCAAACGAGTCCTTAGTCTTTACTCTATGAAAATTCGATTTGCACGGACGGAAACATCAACGTTTTCCCTCATCTCTCAGAGGAAGATCGACGGCTCCCTAACTCCACTGAGCAAATGCTGCATGAATGCTCTCCGAGCGAGAGCACAACGAATCGTATCCTGCCCCTTGTTCCTCTCCCCCCCTGCGATCTCACTATTTGTGGTCGATAAGAAGAGAAACCATGCGTCCACAGAATGTAGCTGTCATCGGATGCTGGTCCAGGAGTGTCTATAAGGAGGAAGGTGAACTGACCATCCAGATCGAAGAGCTCTGAGCCTCTCCGTCTACATTCGCTGCTTTCCTCGACGACGAGCAGGCGCTCACTCACAGAGACTCGAGTCAAATCTGGAAAATACACCACAGATCTCGTCCTCTCTCTGTGAGGGATGGATGCTTTTGCCTACCGGATCCGGCACCCAGCTCGCTCCCCTGGACGAAGTGGACTCATTCGAGATATCAGACGGGTTTTGAAATGGTTCTCCCATCCAGGGAAGCTGTCCGGGCCGGTTGAAAGTCTATGAGCCCCGGGACAAGGATGGGGGACGACAGGGCTCGCGACCGGGTTGAACTTTTCCCAGGAGGCTTGTGATTATTTGGGTTAGGATGCATCGAATCGATTATTTTTTTCTCCATCAATAGCTCTTGACGAGCTGCCTCCGGGGGACCCCCAGAAACTCGATCCGTCGAGTCGTTCGTGGGTGAGAGCGCTTCAAAGACGGAAAAGGTTCCCGCGGGATTTTTCTGGGGAGAAGGGATGGAAAAATCTATAGCATCCTATCCGACTGAAAGAGCGGCTTCCCGAAGATAGTGTGATTTCTCGGTTGCGAGCCCCAGAAGAGGCTGATATCGGTTGAGGAAGCCTCCGTGGGGTCGCTTGCGATGGGAACTGGAATGGGGAGCACGCACTAGGTGGTATCTCCATTGATAAAATGGGTTAAGCGCCGGCGCTGCATGACTCTTAGGCAGTACCTCGCTGCACCAGGAGCAAAATGGGAGGTATGTGGGCACTTTGGCCAGCCTCGGACGTATAGACCCCATCTCCGGAGTACACAGTGGCTTGCTGCCCGCCCGAACGCGGGCTTGCCCTCATATCTCTTCGATTGAGCTCGTTGTACATCGAGAATCGGAATAAAGTGCTAGAATTTTGGAGACTCCTGTCTTTCCCTTTCGGGACGACCATCCGCCTCCACTCATGTCGGAGGGAATATATGAGTCATTCATTATTCGGTGCGTATTCAAGCATATCCTGAGACGATATCAGGCCTACCCAGGAATAACTCTCGAATCCACGATTCTCGATGATATAGCGGGGGTATTTATCGTCGAAATCATGGAACGATTCCTGCCGTGACTTCTCTTGCCGTCACCGGAATCGTGTATCGTCGGTTCGCGACGAATCGTTTCGATGGGTCGCAGAGAGCCCGGGATTCACTTTACAATCGATTCAGCCCCTTGCAGCGGGATGGAAGACGTTCATCGAAATCTCCCCGCGACTCTGACCCGAAAAAACCTCCCGACAATTTTCCTCTCGGGATGTCAGAACTTCCATCCCATTCCTTTTCATCGATTGTGGGAAACTGACCACAGACGGGCTTCAGGGCATGATTTTTATCTGGGAGACTCTCTCGAGGCAATCGGGCCGACACCTCTTCTGCCTCGAGATGTGATCGCTGAGGGGGGTTTTCTGTTGCGAGGTCACCGCGGAGGTCATCTCCATGGGAATTATCGAAGTCTCCCGAGATTCGGAATGAGTTTCCGGCGTTTGATTCGAAAGACTTGATCGCCTCAACCGAGAGATTCTGACACTTTCCGACAGGCCATTCCCCCCCGATATGCTCCGTAGCGACAAGTCATATGTGTATGTACTACCGAATGCTGGCAAAAATGCATGATATATGAGTGAGACAGAGACCGGCGACCCAGTCGCGGGGAAACATCATTGACTTCCTCTCAATTGAGCCGATCTCGAATCTCAAGCTCCTCCCGAGAGGCTTTGTTGCCTGAGTTCGTGCATGCTCGACGGGTCGATTGAGATTCAAATCAACCGTCGCGATGGTCGAACAACGAACACTGTGGGTTTATTGAGATCGAATTCTTCCAGCGCTGGCCTGGATCCTCATTATCTCTGCGGCATTGTCTGAGGTCAGGGAAAGGGCTTCAGGGTATAAAGGGGGTCGGTCTAGTCGTGAGTGCCGGAGAGGAATAAGCACAGCTCATCAGCGATCATGAGGAGGATCCACTCGAGATTGGGATCACGAGAAATTCCCAGCGGATGTGTACCATTAGCGTAGAGTGTTGCAAGATTCTGCTTCATGGCCTGACTCCCGATCTGGCGGAGACGCTCTACAGATGTCAGCGGAGCTGAAGCATACTCGCTTCAATCACCGGAGCTGAACGAAGTACAACAGAGTACGCGTTCCATCAGGGCTTTGGAGCGTTCCATTAATAAAACGTTTCATCACTTTCTGAGCTGTAAAACCGATGCAGGGAGAACGCCGAGTGAAAATGTGTTCTTTTCCCCGCAGGTACTACGGCCGCCGTTGCGAACTCTGGGTGTGTAATTGGATCCGGTGAAGCCGTAACACGAGCTCAACTTCCTGTATGGTGGCAATTCAGACGACGTTTACGGTGACCTTCACCGCGTCACGTTCCCACCGGATTCCTGGTTCAGCCCGTTCCTACTCTCGACTGCTCGTAGGTCTCCGGCTACGCTCATTTTACTAGTGATACGGAGGCCATTCATTTGTCCCGGCTTTCCGACGTCGCGACTCCGCTCATTTATGGTCCACGGTAATTGATCCGAGGGGTCGTCCACCGGATACGGGATGTTCTGGCTTGCCGCATGAGGTCATGATTTCGCGACGGCAGTGATTAGCCGATTTTGTCCCGGATTCTAAGGCGGTCATCATGAACTCCTTCACGAATAGGTCTCAAGACTCCACAGCGCGAGGGAGAGCACCCGTGACCAGCTCTCTCTCGCTCAAGCCAAAATACCTCGGAACAAGAACGGTATCGATCCCCTCCGACGTGGGATCGACACTTTCGCTGCTAGTTCCCTGTCGGATCTGACATTCGTACATCATGATCGGCACTCTCTGTTCAGATGCGCAATTTTTCCCGACTGCCTGCGGTATAAACGCTCGATATCGTGTGAACAAACAGCGCAGCGTCCTTGGAGAGCAAAACAGCGACGCGATCCCGATGCAGGCTGCACTTAATGCTCTCGGAATTATCGGACCAAGCGTTTGGGGCTCCGATAGGACGCTGGCCATGAAGACAAGAATTAGAGAGAAAGAAGCGTAATCGACGTCAGGAGCATTTTTCGATGATCACAGCCTAGGTAATGAACAAGAGCAGCACCAGAGATTTCTCAGGACATTGTGATTAGCATTTTACGTCGGTTCGTTCACTTGACGGTTCAACCGCGGAACCAGGAAAGTGCGACCTCCCCTTCGGAGCTGATCATTTTTATTTTTCGACGATTTCCCCGGGCCCAAAGATCCCCGATACTCGGATTCCAGGATACGGAAAAGGCTCTTCCAATCCAATGAGAGACTCGTCGTGTCGTCGGGCTCGACAATGACTCCTTCTCTCGACGTTTCTCAGCCCGCGCACATAAGCGGATTTAAAATGGCATTCCACTCTTGAATCCTCTCGGGAGCGGTCCGGCTTCATCTTTTCGAAGCAGAGAGGGGAGAATCAGAAGCTTATTGCGTTGTGGGGTCGTCTTCGAGCCTGGTGTCCCTTTTCAGTTCATTCGAAGACCGCGCACTCGATGACAGATTGGATTCCTGAGATTCGAAATCAGCCCGAGTGGTTGACGGAACTTGAGGTAGAGCTGCGAACTCTGAACAAGAATCAAATGAATGAATGAAAAGGTCAAGACATCTTCTCTCATCCGAGAGCTCGAGATGTAAACGGATAATCTCTGAACGACTTCCGCCGTTAAGTTCGACTCACTCTCCTGTGATTGTATTGATAGCCAGTTCCCCTTAAACAGCGGCTTCCTCGCATTTTCGGGGCTCGTATACGTCCCCGGAAATTCCTTCGATGTTTGGGCATCGACGAGAGGGGGTCTCTCTGAGCTTCTGCTTTCGAAGGGGAGCCGAAGTGTTTGTGGGCTACAGCTTGGGAGGAAACGAGGTTGCGCTCTATTGCACTCCACCTACATACAGGGATCAAACGCTTCTGAGTCGGCGAACGGCGAGCGAATATGTGAATGTCTCGACTCCCAGAGCTCACTTTCTTCCCTTTGATGTTGATGAAGTGTTCTTTGCAGATTTTCTCCACCACTTGTTCATCTTGAAACGTCACAAAACCGAATCCACGCGATCTTCGGCTCTCCTGATCGAACATGATCACAACCTCGAGAACCTTCAAATTTCGAGATCTTGTGGAATGAGCAATGCGCCAGTAATGAGATGATCCTAGAGAGGCTCGATCGATCGGTCAAATGGGGATGTAAACTCATTCGAGACATGCGGTGCTCACATTGCCGTACTTCTCTTTGAAGAAAGTGCTCAGCTCATCTTCCGTGAGAAAAGCGGGTAAGCCACCGGTGAATATTTTCGGGAACGGTCGCATGACCTGTATGTACCATCAATAATTTGCGCAAAATCGCATCGTTTCGTCCCCAATAGGCGAACGTGAATGGGCTGGAATTTTTCTCGTGATCTGCCACCGAAAAGCTCCAAGTGAGCTCATTCAAGGATCAGACGTGATGGAACTCACCCTTCCAGGAACTTTGATATGATTTCCGTTCGGTCCACAAGGTTTCGGATCGACGACCCTGTTGTCGACAGAATGAGGTCCTCGCTGACAGACTATGAAGGCTACGCAAGGGTCTCTGTATGTCACGAAGCCAAAGCCTCGACTGCGTCCCTAGAAACGTATGTTCTCTCGCCGCGTTTGGAATAGCGTAACTTTCGTAGGTCCGAATTTCCCCCAAGCGAGACTTCCAGGATTCGAGGGACATCTGATCGTGAGCTACTTACTTGCTCATTTGTGACAACGGTGCAATCTTCAATGTCTCCAAATACACCGAAATACGCTTTCAAACTCTCTTTCGTGGTGCACCATGACAAACCTCCGACAAACATCTTACTCCCGCTCGATCTACTGAATGTCAGGGAAGCGAGACACTCCTCAGACCGGGGATTTACTAAGCACGACGCGGGAGTGGACGGTCCTGCTCCCGGAGGTGTATTCATCTCACTGTCATATCCATGTTACTTAGAGCTCAAGGGGATCGCGTAGCTGCTTCGATCCGCGAGATGCGCACCCTCCGACGACAGCATACGACTGTTCGACTTTGTCGTTCTCCGTGTGGCGGATAGTCGGAGTCGCTGGCGCGACGCCGGCGCCGTGGAGCACCGATATAACGAATTCCATCGGAACAATTGAAGACAAGATATTTGCGAAAAATTTTCTTCATTCAATAAGGAGCTCTCTTGATATTACATCGTGATCATCAAGCGTGTGCATTATGGACGGCTCATTGCTTGATATGCTGAAGCTTCATCCGATGATGGCCCACTACAGATTGATCCTTCCCCAACTGGCTGAAATTCATGCTTCGGGAGCATCAGGGCCGGGAGAAGCGTCGTACGAACGGCTCGAGCTCCCACACTCGAGGATTATTCAACGGACGACTATTGTCCAATCGAAATTGACTAAGAAAGACTAGTTGAGCTAAACTCCTGAAATCTCTGGCGATGGTCGTCGGGAAATCTACGTCGGAGCCATACGAAAAATCGTACCGAAGGATAAACTCTTCCGAGCTCTCCGAGTCGATTTTTTTCGCTAACTCCGGCATCGGGGGACTGGACTGTCGTGGATTGCGAGATGCCGTCCTCAATATTCCCCCACCTTATTTCATTCTCCCCTCTCCGGATAAGCAAAATTTCAGCGATCGGACAAGGGCAACAGCGATAACCAGTGAATCCCACCGCAGTATCCACTGGAATTCTCCTCTCTTTTTGTACACATCGAGTATTTACAGAACCCATCCTCTGAGTAACTTTCTGAAACTATTGAAGTATCCGAGCCATCGACAAGGAAGCAGATCATCGAATCTGGTTTGGAGAATTCGCAGCTCTCAGCTCACTATATCATGATACGATCGAGCGATTCAGCGCTCGACCCATCCAACAGGAAACATTCTAGGAGACGAATCGAAAGACCTCCGCCTCCGTCTCCAATAATTCTCCAGGAGAATGATGCCTCTGATTTCTCTCTGATGTGATATCATTATCATTCACCTAGAACGCGCGTTTGACTCGCTGTGGTAGCACGGATTCCCTGGCTGACTTGAACAGGCCGAGGAGATTGTATTTTCGCAGGGGTCCCCGATTCGAGAAGTACGACGAGGAAGTGAACGAGTCGCCATTGTCTGCAATCGTATGCGATGACTCATTAGTATCGACAATATTGTCTTTGCGAAAGCATGGACGTGGAGGAATTGTATCCTTGAGGGGACTCCAGAATCAGATGCGGGGGTCGTTCATTGATTTACCCACCGACTAAGAGCGTCCGTTCCGCCGTCGTAGGCAGGATTGAGTCGTTCGCAGAGAGCGAGACGAGGAACGCGCATGGCACTATCCACAAACAGAGTATGAAATAGGCGAGCACTTCGGACATCGGATGATAGTTAGCACCAAAGTATGAGAATGCCTGGTAGTGATTGTACACGAGCAGAACTGGAAAGAATTCGAGCTCAACTCAATATTCGTTCCATGCGCGTATCGGAAACGAGTTGCTGCAGACCGTGGACTTCCACATATCGACTCCAAAGCATAAAATTCTCAGGATGCACCCACCGAGACCTGCGATGAAGGATGGGGAGGTGACATCGACTAAGGGGAATGTTTTGAGTACCAGGAGATGGGACCCCTGATCCAAAAGACCACACACCATCATCCACAACGGGAAGTTCTCAAACACCACGAAGCCGATATGGATCGTGATGACTATCTGCAGGGGAAAAGCGATAGAAGTGAGTTCTCGATGGTGAGTCGCAAAGAGAAATGGGGACAGAGGCATTCGGACGGTCACTTTGTACGCTTCCGAAAGGTGGCTCGTGATTCGATATTGAATCCGACGATAGTTGATTCGCGGTCGAAATCCGGGAATCGTTTGATGAGGACAGTAGGGGGCGCCTCTATCTGCAAGTCTCCGCATCACACTTGTCTGCATTGATAATTATAATTACAATTGTGGCTGGTAGGATAGAGACGACTGTGAGCTTAATGTTGAGAGGATGCTTTCAGGGATTCCCCACAATGGATAGAGCGAGTCTCGAGGAATGACATAAGATCCCTCGACGATCCCAAGATCGACGGCGAATTCGACACGGAAAAATATCAGATGTCTCGAACATTCAATCGTTCTCTCCGCGGATTTCACTTATTCAGGACCACCTACCAATATCAAGCATCGAATGACGCGCGCGGTGGCCGCCGTGAACTCCTCAACCAATTCCGCTAGGTAATAGAGTCCGCATGCTGCAATCAATGTGTCTTTTTATTATAGAATCGAAGACTTGAGAAATCAGCCTGTAACTTCATCCATCGCGGATCCGATATTTCGCCGGCGCCAGAATCGATGGTCAAAGCTAGAAAAGCTGTCGGATTGCGCCGACGGTCTTGACTCGTCTCTCTTCTGATCGTGAATTCCGAAACGCTAACCCACCTAAGCAGAAAACGAGGACGAAAATTTGGAACACACTAGAAATCCACGATAATAACGTAAGGAACAGCATTTTCGCGAACGCCCCTGATGTCAGATGGGCGCGGCCATCTTGTTTCGATATTATTCGGCGTCGCGGGTCGCGCTCTATCTCTCACGAAAATCCAATTTCTCTGCGATGATCCGCCGCAAAATCAGGGAAAGCCATCAAGTATTCATTCGAAGCTCGTCCCGAGATATCAGAGAGTAAATCCAGTCGAAAATTCCAAAAAGACTCTCGAGGGCCCTCGAAAGTGGGGCCATCGGTGTCAAGTTGCGGCAGCAGCATCGACGGCTGCTGCTTGCCCAGTTCCTTGTTTTCGTTGCCGTGTCCGTCGTCGTCGTTCGGTGAGGACTTCTTCTTCCCCATTGGCTGCTTACACGGGGTCGGCCGTCGCCGTCTTGTGTGGTGTCTGGTGTGAGAGTGCTGTGTAGAAAAAAAGAGCAGCCAGCGATCCAGCCAGCCACCAGCAGGAGATAGAGCAGCAGCAGCAGCAGAAAGGCAGGCAAGGAAGCTGCTATTACGATGTGGTTTCGTTGTTGATCAGTGGGAAGAAGAAGAAGCACTGCTGCTGGTGGTGGTGGTAGTAGCAGCAGCGACGACGACGACGAGTCCAGTGAGCTCGCTCTGAAGCTCGGCGAGTTTCCTACTCGCCAGTGCAGTAGTTCCGTCAAGAGCACTCACTCATTCAACATTCACGGGCTGCTTGCTAGCCGTCCGTTTGTGTGCTAAGGAAAGTGGAGCAGTGTTGTTATCATCATCGTTGCCGTTGTTGTCGTCGTCGTCGTCATCATCGTCATCGTCGTGCTGGTGGTACTAAAAGAGACTGTTGTCGTCGTCGTCGTCGTTGACGTCGCTGTCGTGTTCCACTCTTCCTTCTCAGAGCCCGAGGATCCTCTCGACTCGAATCTGGCACTCGAATCGGTCGGAATGCACTGCAAGTGAATATAGGTGGGTATCGGGGTGAATTTACGCACTCTGGCTGCTCGTCCTTCCGCAAGCCTTCCGGACGACTTGACAAGGCGGAAATTCGGAGAACTGATACTCTTGGGAATAGCGCAAGCGCTGCGACAGTGCGTCCACCTCGGAGAGGTACACGTAGTGGATGGAGTACGTTGTGCGCATATGAGTTCATCAGCAGATCAAACAGCTGAGACACTCGGGTCGAACAAAGGATCCGAGGGTCGGGTCGTTGGCTAATGTGTGCTCGTCGGGTCGTTCGGTCAACTACTGGGTCCGTTCCTTCGTGCGTTCGCCCGTCAGTAGTTGAACAGGTCCCACATCGAACAGCTGATAGTGTTTTTGGCGCTGGAAAGCGCATTGTCCTGCTCGTTCAAAAGTCAATCTCTTGGCCAATCTATGTGGTCCCCATCGATTTCATGGAGTCCCGTGGTGAATCCGCGCTGGAAATCGCGAGAGTGCGTTGCCTGGAAAGATGAGGGGATAGGCTGCTCTCCCGAAAAGAATTTCGACATCGTTTGAGAGTTCATTCTGTCGTTGTCTTCTCCTCACCAGTCGAGGAACTGACCTTTAGTGATTCGGAAGAATCTCCGTACTTTTCCGATAGCATTCTCGTGTACCGTATTCATTGTTGTGGCCGCCGCCGCCGCCGAATGCAGCGATTCAAGTAAGGCGAGAGCTCATGTGGATCGCCGTCAGCTTTCTTGGTGGGATGATCTTTCTTCACTTCGTGACGTGTGTCATGGAATGTTGAGCCAAAAGAGGGATATGACGCGCTCATCGTAATTCGAGTCGAAATCCGAAGAGAAAATGTGTTATCCCGGAGATGATTCCATTCTTCTCCGCTCCTGCTCGCCACCATGAGAGACATCAGAGACGGGCTATAGGTACGAGACTTCGGCCATTCATGCTCGGAGGACAAGGGAGAGCCTGCGGATTGGGGGTACGCGGTCTCCGAAGGTGAAGCCGCTCTCGATGTAGCCTCTTCCGTTAAGTTTCCGAACGCAGTAGCCACCCGCCGGGTCCGAGCTAGTGACCTTATACATGACACCACTCCAAAGCGGTCAATGCAAATGTGAGCGTACCTACGCATGTGCTGTCCTTTCTGGCCTCTTTGGTGTATCCGTGCGTCCGATCGCACGAAATGTTCCTCAGGACTCGTAAAATCCCTCGAGCTCAGATCTCTAGTAGAGCTACGTGTCCCCTCTAGCTCTCGCTCCTGCATAAGTTATCCCTCGAGGATTTCTCGAGGCCCGAGAACCTCTTTCTGCCGCTGGAAATCGGAGGAGAAACCATCCCCGAAGGTTCCGAGGCTCGGATTGTATTGGGTCGCTCTCGGCTTGAATTATTGGTCGATGAACATCCCCCCGAGAAATCGCTCCAAGGTCCCAGCGCCTGTCACGTGGGAACTTGGGAGAGTTCCCCGTTTCACGGTATGAGCTTGATTTCTACATCTTTTGGCCAAGTTTGCTCTCGGCAGAGAAAGATATTCAACGCGCTGTGAAACTGGAAAACTCCCTGGGGAGGAGACGTGACGAACACTTCGATTTGGTTTTGTAGAGCAGTCGTTATGGGTCTGTGGGCTGCAACCCACCACTGCCTCTGCGGAACCAGGCTAGCGAGCAAAAGGGGCTGCCGCGATCCTGGCGATTTCCTGGATGCGAAAAATGAGTCGATGTCACGGAAGGTATCCTGCAGATTGAATGCAGAAATTGGTTGATTGATCGCTCGTTCGTATTTGATTTGTTGATTGATTGTTGGGTTGTTGCTCTTGGCCGTCGGTGACCCCTTTCAGATATCTCACATGCTGTGGGGGAAAAAACCGACGCTTGGGGGAGAAACCCCCTTACGTTCTATCACGTTTTGAACGGAAAAATTGGCCAGTTAACGTGTGCTTAGTGACCTTGAACGAGGAGAACCTTTTGCGTACTCGATTCCACACGTAGATTAACGCGACGAGGGAAAAAATCGATTCGCTGAACCACCGTCTTGGAGCTCCCGTGCATTCAGAAATCACACAGATGAGATCTGTCCAACTCGATACGTCTTCGCTACCGAGGTCGCTCTCCGTCAGAGGTACTCGAACACCTTTGACTATTTTTGTCGGAATACCTGAAGGTCTGCCAGCGGAACTCGATGTCTCGTACCTGCGATCAGATTGCTGTGATTTCCAGAACGTGTCTCGAATTCTCCTCGAGCTGTCCGATGACAACACCAATCAATTTCTCGAGTTCCATCCGTTCGGTGTCCGGAACGGATGCAAAGAGGAGCCTCGATGTCAGCTTGTGAACCCCGATCCGAGCATACGATTTTCCTATCCCCACGCGAAACATCTTCATTTCTAAAGAGTAGAGCGGGAATTCTTGTTTCCGGCTTATCATCTGTCGATCGGTTCCAGCCGGGAGCAGAATCCGGGTGTCCGAGCATCGGGAGAGCTCTCGATTCCGAGAGCATTTGTTACGAGAGACAACGCGGCCACCGCCGAGAGAGTGGAAATGTGATCGAGGTCCAAGGTTTCTATCATCTGGGCGAGGTAAAAATATTACCTCCGTCGGAAGGGCTCGAAGATTGTGAGATGAGCTGGCATCATGTCTTTACTCGCTCGGGAAAAGATATCCGAGCGGGTCGACTCGGTGGCGTGTGTCGGTCTTCAAGCTAGGCATCGACTTACACTCTGCGAAAACGAAGCCTGACTTGAGCTGTTTCCCAATTGAAGGCAGAAGCACTAAGGCAAAGTCTCATTGTATGAGACTCCCGTGTGTCGGATTCGTATTCAGGCATTCAGAGAGAATCGTTTGACTTGGTCTCTGGACTTGCATTCAATAGACTTCCATAAGAGCCGCTACTCCAGCCAATCCTGCGTCTCACAGAACGAAATGGAGCTCACAGCGACGGATGCATCTAGCCTGCTCGCGCTCCATGATTTCAATCCGCTCCCATGATATCAGCGTCATCTGATGACATTCTTGGATCCGTATTTGATCAATGATCATCATGGATCACCTGTGCTGGCCAATATTTTTCATGAAGACGCTTGAAACGCAATCGGATGAGGGTGAAAGACTTGGGGGGTTAGCACAACGTGATGCTGATCGGAGAAGCCTCCTCATGATTTCACATAATTCTTCTGTTGCTGCGATGAAGGGCGGACGAAGGAGCGTTCTCATATATCACCGGAAGAAATCGCGGTTCGGGGGACGGTGTCGAAGTTGATGACTACCGGCTTATCAGATTTTGTTGTCTCATCTAAGATTCTCGAGGCTCCCCTCAGAAACCTCGCGTTATCATTGGCCGCCGCAGGGAGCTCCTAATGAATTTCTGTGATTCTGGGAATCCGGAGCTTTCGGGAATAATTCAAAAGCGTCAGAAAGTCAGAATCATGGCGGCTGTGTGCTCCGGCGCATGTCCTTCAAGCGACAAGCAGCACCCACACAGCACAAGACGTCGGTCGGCTGGTACTTTTCGTTGCTGCAAATTACAGAAGAAGGAATCACCGAAGAAGCGACGTGATGCCATCGCACGAACACTTCGCCTTAGTCTCCACTTGAGTCGTGCCGCTCATCGTTCGCGTATCCGCCGTTCACTTTCTCATAGTCATTCTAGAGCGGCTTGTTTACTATTATTATCGACATCATCGTGATGGACTCTTTCCGCAGAAATGAGGGACCTTCCGATTTTTCCACCTTCGTCAAGAGCCTCCGTCAGTTCCGGCTCCTCGTTCTGTTTGTCCGACCGCTCAGGTCGGAACCTCGCGCGATTAGCTTTCACCTAGCCTGCCCAAGCCTATCTATCGGTTGAGTGCGGCCGAGTATTTGTGGAACTCCGTCGGCTCACGTCTTGGCGGGTGGCCACCAGTAGGGGGTGGTAACGACGACGGGGTATATGACTTTTTCCGAGGAACATCTCACATGAAAGTGTTTCTCGTTCGTGATATCTCGCTGCTGACTGCTATTGAAAACCTCGCTCTCATCCGTTCTCCAAAAATATGTGTCCGCTCGAAACATTATATTCGAGGTCCTTCAATGGCCTCTATCACCTGGGATGTGTCATAATGGGATTTTCTCATTTTTTCAGTTCCGATTGCGGAAGAGGCGGATAACCGTCATTTCCGCTGACGGTCGAAGTGCTCCGACTTCGGTTCGAAGGTCCCCATGAGCTCGAGCGAGAAGTGGACTTGTCCGCGATGTGAGTGAAATATTTTCAGGGAGAGATATTCCGGAATTTGAAAAAATAAATCCAAATCGAGCATAAGGGTTCTCATCTTCAGTCGGCAAAAGTCCTCTTGAGCAGAGCCCTCTCTTTTTCGATTAGGCACGTACGAGAACTGGCCACGTACGCTGAAATGCACGATTTGCGGACTTGGCAAAGTTCCGCAACTGATCGAAGAGGAGGCCGAGCAGCAGCGGGCCGTGACCCCCCCGCCCGCGCCCACACCTTTACACACCAACCAGAACAATTCCATTTCCACAAATAATGCTGGTTAGTGTTTTCGCTCAACGCATGGGAAAGGCGAAAGTCAGAGTTTGAGTTATCATTATCATATTGTGTTATCGATTCGGAAATCTTTTCCAGCCCCGTGCTTAGGAAATCAACAGCATCCGACCGGAAGCATAGAGTCGCTCAGTGGATCCGTGGGTTCGCTCTCAATCGGTGGAGGGCAAACGCAACCACCGGCGAAATGGTCGTGTACTAAGTGTACCTACCTTAATTGGCCCAAGAGCGGTCGCTGCGTGCAATGTCGATTCCCTCGAGCGACGCCAGCCTCTCCAACACCTCCGTCGTTGACTCGGAGCCCGTCTCCGACGACCCGAAACTCACCTGAAGCCTCGACGAGTAACATCGCAGGCGCTAGCGGCATGCAAATCGATCGTGAGTTCAATCACCGAGTTTTATGGTTACCCCAAGGCGATCAATGGATGAGTGGCACAAGTTCTCGATAGCTTTTTTAGGAGCCGGATCGTAACAACTTGTTTTTAGAGGAATTCCGATGATTCCACTCCGATATGAAGCTAATTGCCCTCTCTCCGATGCAGTATCAAATCCTAAGTGGGCGTGCCCGACCTGCACATACATGAATTGGCCGAAGAGTCAGCGATGTGTTATGTGCAACACAAATCGACTGAATAATCTGAACAATCAGACACACAACCAGCCCGGATCACCTTTGAAACCATCGTCGGTGAATCGGTCCACATCTCCGCCTGTGATTATCGAGACAGGTAATAATTGATTAATTATCGATGGGATTCCGGAAGCTGAACTTATTACCGTGCGGAGGGATAGCCCCCAATAGTCTTGTGTAGCCGAGAATGACTTTCGATCTTTTTCTTTCCCGAACGACCAGCCGGCGCAATGGCCATGCTGTGCGGTGAAAACGAAGAAGCAGAGCCCAACAATTACCTCTCTACCTTACGTTCGACGAATCGGAAATCTATTTCGTCTGTGGACAAGCTCTGGCTCAATGCGTGCCTTGGCGTCGTCGAGGGCCATTTGGAGCCTGTGTTGCGTTACCTCGATTCCGGGAGCAATTGTCTGAGAGTGACAACGCACTTGGATGCTCAGCATCTCAGAGCTCTCTGGTTGCATCATCAGAAGTCCGGTGAGTATTCGAGACTCAAGACCATGGCACCAGGAGTCTGTCTCGAGGATTTCCCGAGGTCTGAGCGCGGAGAAAACACGCTTCGGTTGGGTAGCATGTAGTTCGTGACCCCCTGCTGTCCTTGAAAAGATCGCTCCTTTCCTCACGGTGATTTGCGAAATTTCTTGCAGGTTCATTACAAATCGAGCCAGGACAGTCGTTGATATACCTGTGCATCAAGTATAAACGCGACGATATTCTCAACCATTTGTTAACAGTGACAGAAAACGCTCCTGTCGTCCCGAAACGAGTTCCTTCTGAAGTGTGTCAAGACATCGCAGCGGATATTCGGCGGCACGTCGCCGCGTCTTTCAAACAGCGCAGAGGCACAGACTTCGCTTGTTATTTTGTTACGGACAATGTGACGTTCTCATTGCCATCTGAAATCGAACACCTTCATCCTTCCGTCCAAAATGTTTTGTTCGATGAACTGCTCGACAAAGACGTTCAGAAAGAATTGGAAGCCGAACCCGTCATCAACTGGAGTATCGAACTGACTCAGCGCCTGGGCTCTCGACTGTACGCGCTCTGGAACCGCTCGGCGGGAGACTGTCTCCTCGACTCGGTCCTACAGGCGACGTGGGGAGTGTTCGACCGAGACAATACGCTGCGGCGAATATTAGCCGACAGTTTATGTGACGCGGCCGCTGTTCTTTATCCCAGATGGAGGGAGGCGGAAGCTTGGCAGGCCAACCTGATGCACTACTCATTGGCTGAAACCCAATGGCAAGAAGATTGGGCGATTCTCGTATCCTTAGCCTCGCAGCCAGGAGCCGCGCTCGAACAGCTGCACATCTTCACTTTGGCGCACATTTTCAGACGACCCATAATCGTTTACGGAGTTAAGTGCATAAAAAGCTTTCGCGGCGAGAATCTCGGCCTCGCCCGCTTCGAAGGAATCTACCTCCCCTTGCTCTGGGAATGTCCATCTTTCTGTTGGAAGAGTCCTATCGCGCTCGGGTACACGAGGGGTCACTTCACCGCCTTGGTCCCTATTGAGCCGCCGGAGATGGACGTGATCGCTCGCGGAGGAGCTCACTCGACGCATCGACAAGAAGACATAATCTACCTTCCACTGATGACCACCGAAAAGCAGCTGCTCCCGATCCATTTTCTAACGGAAAAAGAGGTGAGTTGGCGGCCTGTCGCCTCGTAAACCGAACGTGCTCATGAACGACTTATAATTTTCGGTATCGATGGAATCCTCTGGACCAATGTTCAGAAAAATGAGTCCCATACTCTGATCGATTTCATGTCTGGAGGGTGGTCATCCGCAATAAGCATGTTCCTGAATCTGACCGAAATTCCTTGAGCAGATCGGACGCGAGGAAGAACTCGTGCGCGAATGGTTGGATTTCCGAATCACGGAAGGGAATATCCTCGTCGCCCTGCAACGACTTCAACCCCCGCTGAGGAGACCAACTCTCGTGAATCAGATGCTCGACGAGTGGCTTCACTACTATCGCAACCTTTCTCTCGGTAGGAACGCGACCAACGCCAGACTCAATCAACTGCTGGTGATGGCGAACGAGCGACGGGACCGGAACAATCAGAGTCCCCCTCATCAGCATCCTGGCGGGGGTACTCGGCAGCGACACCAGTCTTCCCAGCAACAACATCACGACGCAGTCAGCGAATCCGATTGAGCCGGACTTCACCTACCCCTCTCTTGCATCGAAAACCAAAAAATATGCTGCTGTTCATACATTTCCTCCTTCTGCCGATCTCGGTCACCGTTTCTCGCTCAAAGAATCAGTGAGAATCGAAATCACAAGGAGCCGAGCACATCAGGCACAAGGCCCAAGTCAACGGCTCCCTGGCCCCTCATCCGAGTGAGATAAATATCGAACTGAGCAATCCCATGAAGATGCTGACGAAGGCGATAGTTGGAGAGCCAATACTAGTCTGCCGTGGCCCAGTCCGAAATCCGTGAACTTTTCCGGAGCTGCCACTGGGTTCTTCTGCATTGATCCCGTTATTCAGGACTCTCGTCCGTGCTGATAACGTCTTCGGCAATCATGGAGGCCGGATCCAGATTGGCAATCTTATGACGGAGCTCGTGATCAGTCCCCCCGAAAACAAAGTTTCTCCGACTCCTAGCCTCGAGTGGAACGGGAGGGGAATCCAACTATCATACCGATTTGAGTGGCGCACCATAAGTACTTCGTTGTGCCCATTATCGACGAAAATAGTAGCTGTGAAACTAAGATGTGATAAAAGGGAAGAAGTTGAGATACGAGAGAGGCTGCCGCGATTCGACAAGGGATCTTCTTTGAGCGCCTAAGGGACCGCCTTCAGTCAGCTTGTAATCAGATTTACCAGCGTGCATAATTCTCTTTTCCTTTCAATGTATATATTTCGTGAGAGGTAATATGAGGGGTTTCAGGCAGAGAGAGCATCTAAAATATTTGGAGCCTGAGCCGTAACCCAATATACGTTCGACGATGAGCTAGTAGCCGTGCAATATGGAGAATACCCGAATTCTCCTCTCAGGAATGTTCCGCGCGGGGCACTGCTGCAGAAGAAAGCCGAGATCGCGTTTTTACGGATGGAAGCACACTCATAGATGCGCGTACACAGTCGGAATCAGAAAGACCCACATTTATGAGCATTGTATGTAATCACATCTCGAAGCGGTATATTTGTTCGTATCGTAACTTTCAAATCAGCAACTGGAATCAGTTTCCTGAGTCGTTGGGACAAGCTTTGAGTTCGAATCCCGAAATTCCCATTACGGTGTCGGGATGTAGGCTCAATCGAATCACGGGAGTTATCGGCGTGAACGAGTCTTTCGAAATTAGACTTCGGCGCCCGCCGGGAAGAGCGTCGGATGAGGTGAACCGGTGCTCGGTGTCGTCTGTCGTCGACTCCGCTACTGAGGACTGAGGATGGAGTTTTTCTCTCTGGCAGCGACAAGTGGTGTTCTCGCAGAAGAGAGAGACCGTATTGGATTCATTCCCCAAATTTTTTCAATCATAGCTTGAAGTAAATTCATACCAAAGCTTGTCGTCAGGAGAAGCCTCAGAATAGGGAAACAGGTCCCGTCGACCGATCCGTCGAAGATGTTCGCGGCCTGATCGAGTCATCTTGAAAGTAAGGTGCTCTTCTCTTCTGTATGCCGTACAAGCTTAGGCTTTTCTAATTGTAGGAGCAATCGAGTGGATCAAGCTTCGCGAAGTGTCTCCGCTGTGAGATTGACCCATAAATACATCTTTCTCAATTCCTGGAAGTCAGTCAATGCATCTCGACAGGAACGAATGAAATTATGGTGAGGACCAGAATTCCATAAACTGAAAACGGAGCAGTGAGCTTCACCAACAAACCGTGCTGCTTGAGTGAGTTTCCTTCTCTGATAGAAGCCTTTGAAGAGCTGTGTGATACTATTAATGATCGTATTTATTGATAGTGATGATGAATATGACAGATCCGAGGAGCAGACGGAATGTTAGAGGGAATAGATTGGAACAAAGAGTCGAATATTCGCAATCTGAAAATGGTGACGCGGAATTCGAACCACAGTTCAGTCAGAGCGTTGGTTATTCGAATGCTGTTATCGCGCTGTAGAAAAGTACATTAAAACAATGGTGACAATGACGGAGGATCTCTTCTTTTCTGGCGCCGAGTTCATGATATAATTATGAACTGACAACTTGGTATGTGATGCATAGTATCTGGGAGAGTTCAGGATCAATAAGATGGGTGGTCTCGACAACGTGTCCTACAGAATGTGTCCTGTCTGACATAATGATAGCTCAAGGACGGTGCGGAATCGGAAGGACGAGTATGGTGAGGAATCGATAGCGATTGCAACGCGGCGGACTTTCTGAAAGTATAAAAAGCAAAGCCGAGACGAGTACCTTGCAACACGCTAGGTAACGGCTTATTTCGGTCGAATGACCGAGATAGCGGACGTGAAGGCCCAAAAGAGATGCGATACAGTCGGGGCCGGAGATATCTTGCGAATTTCGCCTAATAGCGGGTCGACCGATCATTCGGATGGCCGCGCGAGCGGCTTCGACCATGCATGGATTGGAGTAACGTGGAACGGGAGGGAAGCCGATCGGGAGCAATCCAGCAAGCCTTAAAGCACCATGTTGCACTGGGACGAAGAAATCCGAGGGCGGGAGAAGCAGCACGTCAATGAATCATTCGGGAGGAGGTTGTAGAAGCAAGAGATGAATGTCAGGATGATTATTGGTCTTCCCTCCCTCTCCTTGCATGGGGTCGGGACATTCGACGGCGGACCCTCCCCAGCTCGACCAACAAATGACCATGACTCGGAACGGATGTGTTTAGGGGACCTTCATGAAGTGCCATCGGCCGGCATCTTCGACGAGGGGAGGGGGGCGGGGCCATCGTTCACAAATGCGGAGTGCTTCATCTTGGTCGCCGAAATCCAAGATATATGTAGGTACCGACTTGGTGACTCTGATCTCGCCGTGCTCAACCATGTCAAAGACCTAGGTGTTCGCTTCTCGGAGTCCCTGACGTTCCCTGAACAAGCCGACCATGTCATTCGGAAGGGCTCGATGCTGTGCAACTGGATCCCACGTTCATTCTCCATCCGCCGCCCCGATGTCTTCCTACGTCTCTATCAGAGCCACGTCGTGCCCATTCTCACGTATGCGAGTCAGGTCTGGTTTCCTCACAAGGAAGAGGACATGGCCCGTCTGGAACGACTGCAAAGACAATTTCTCCGCCGGGTCGAGCTCAGATGTGGCATGCTGCCTAAATCCCTCGTGCTCCCGTCCGTGAATGACCGAATGGTAGACCTGGACGTCAAGTATCTTCGTCGCCTAATTCGCAAAAGGGTGGACCTCTTCGACAGAATATTCGCCCTCGAGCACCGTCGCACAAGACTTGGCTTCAGACTCCGCCCGATCGCCCGCAATAGAACGGAAAAAATCGCCAAGATGTTTCCTTGGAGAGTGTCTCGACTGATAGAGTGCACTCTACATGCCCGGATTGATCAATATGTACATACTCCCTTGATCTATAGCCATTGTTCGTCTAGAATGAATGAGGTTCACAGTTAAGGGGCCGACCACCGATGATGATGAGCCTAAACCTAGAGCCCCACGGGCCGGAAAGAGACCCTGAGAAAGGGGGGCTATGGCCCCTTGACCCCCACCTGGGCACGCGTCGCTGATACTGTCCGTGTCCCTTCCTACCCTTCGAGCCTTTCGTTCAAGCGCACTCTCCGAATTCCGGGTTGAAGTCCGTTTGCTTCGACCTTTGAGATTCGGAACTCCTATCGTCCGCGGATGAGAGCCTTGTTGAATCCACATCGGGACACTCTCATGATTTATTCTCCGTGCCTCATCCGTGGGGCCCGTCCTTCGTGGACGTCTCGCTGTCCCCCTCAACGCGTCCGTTTTGCCTTTTAGATCCTGAGAGAAACTGTCGCCTATCAAGCGAATCCTTGCGACCTCACGGCAATTATCGAAAGTGCTCGGTTTATCAATTTCCTGTATGGACTGAGTATCGACAATGAGACGGAATGCGAGATTACGCAGCCCCTTACTTCGTTACACTAGGGTTGAATCATCTCCGTGGGCTATCGCGTCAACGGTATCTGACAGCGTAGCTCGAGGTGGCGTTTCCCCGATCGTTGAAGTTATCCCGTGAAACAGGGAAGTTTCTCTCCATGGGACGAGAAAAGCATCAATAAAGCCGAATTTTTGGGACACACGCGGAAATAATTCAATTCGGAACTCGAGTCGGCCTGACTCTCAATCGACTTCCGGAGCGAGGTACGTCTCGCAGGTCAGCTTGGATCGGATCACGATCGGGAGCATACATGATCCAGAAGAATTAGTGGATCCATATGAATTCTGATAGGAAAAGGCATTTCCGTATTATGTGAATGCTCCGAAGAACACAGAATACTGTCGATCTCCGGGAGCAGAGTTTATTCTCGATTTGAAGTGGCATTCACAATCTGGATGAAGAAAACCCAACTTGCACTTTTCGTGAGCAGAGCGGTACCTAAAGTCCAACGCGCCGGTCCGGCTGAATGCAAATCCTAGATCGTACTCGATAAGATGATGGCCTGTTCTCTGTTCGGGACTCACTCTTTCTTCGACTCTCCGGGAGAACGATGCTCTATGGGTAGACCGTACGATCATTTGGACGAATGGAGAGACTCACTTTCGCGGAGTCCTGTGGCTCATAATGCAGGTGTCATGGATGCGTTCCCAATCATTATTTGGGCTCCGCGTCTGGATTCGTTCCCTTGGTCCATCTGTCCCAAACGTCGGCTCCATCGATTTCGATATAATCCCTCCCAAATACGGAAACTACGTTCCCGTTGCGATTGAGAATCACTACAGTTGGCGTTTGGACGACGTCGAAACGATGCAGCAGAGCCCTGTGAAGATCATAAGACATCTATCAGCCGAATCTCCTCTCTCCCAGATGCTGCCGACTGATTGGAACTTTTCCTCGATTGATTCTCATAGTTTCATGGAGAGTGTGTACGCAATGCTCACATGCGGGCGTCGCTCTCGAATGGCACGGCTGGCCAGTAGTCTCGGCAATCCGTTAAAAGATCCATCATCTCAGCATTGGAACGATCCAACGAAACCACTATGACGTTCAAACATCGGCCAGAGATACGTAATTCGTGCACGACGGAACTCAGGAGACCTCTGAACGCCCTTGAAAAATAAAGTTTGACTCTATGTGAGCCTAGCCCATATTGTTCAGCGGCTATCCGAGAACGATGAGCAGCTCCCGAAGTAGTCAACTCAATTCGGCAGAAAAACACCAGACACAATATCGTCCAGGATACTTAGAATTCGTTCGCTGCCGGAAGACGTAGAATGGGAGCATTTGAGAACAAAGAGAACTTTCGAATTGAACGTCTCATTCACTCACCGACAGGCTCCGGATCTCTGGGACGCGAAATACAGCGCGATGAATTGGGCGTCATCCAGCTGCTCGATTGTACAGTTTGTTCCGTCTCTGCGTATCAGCTGGAGCGATGTGAGAATATCCATGTCTGCTGAGCTCCCTCCACCCTCAGCTCGATGTTACCTCATATAGGAGCTCCGTCGTGCGGGCTTGCGGTCTGTAGCTTCACACGGTGAGGGCTGTACGAGGTTCGCCGCCAATGATATGAGCGGTGCGTGATCGAATTCTTGGCGTGCTATCGAACGTGAGCATATCCGGACACCGATTGATGGATTTTTTCAGCTCCGCTGAGTGACCCGTAAACGTCAAACAGTATTTTTTAGGCTACCATCGCTCCAAGCAGGGATGAACTTCCCATGGAAAACCTCGGACAGAAAGAGTTGCCTACGTTCTTGAAATTATTCCTCTCGCGGAGGGCATACCTATATACCCAGGCGCAGCTCCCGATAATTGCGAGCCCTCCCGAAAGCAGGCCCCTCGTCGAGGAAATCAAACGATGAGAATGAAATTGAGCATTTCAATGAATTCCAGTACAACGGCTTCAATCCTATATCATACATCACGCAACGAACCCAAAAAAATCAATACAAATCGTCCCTCCCGCACCTATAAACCGACCGGAGAATACCGTTAACAGACTCCTGATAGAGTTCAGCCCAATGAAGAACCTTTCGAGCGTGTACTACTTCGCATCTAAACTCCCATGAACGACGCGAGTCGGGCGCTACCAGAGTTAATCCCTCTTGGTAGGGGAGACTAAGGTGTGGGGTACCTCCCGCATACGAGCCCAAGTATTCCTCAAAAATCCGGAGGCTCGGCGTCGCAGTTTGCTGAGCCCATATATCACAACTTGAATCTGCTTGCCTCAGTTTGTATACGATACATTTTTAAAATATCGCCCGTATGAGTTCGCAGCTCATTCTTCGATCAAGGGTGGGGTATGTGATATTGTCGCCTCAGGTGGGATCCCGTGCTTGACTGGATCGAGAATGAGCAAAATAATCGCGTACAGTGTGACTGGGAAAGCCACGGAGATGACCATCGCTTGCCTCGAGAGGTCTATGGATTCCCACAACTTGAGCGTTTTCGGAAATCGCCGCTGATGGTTCAGGTAACGAACGACATGGCTCTCGTTCTGATAATGCTTGTAAATCCAGCGACGAACTCGTTCCGATTCGACGGTAACGCCGTACGAGCACTCGCACACTGCGAAGTAGCCGGCACAGAGCATTATCGCATGAGCCCACGTGGTGATATGCGGCATTGCGTAGTCGGTCTGATGGTATCTTGCCATTACCAGACCTTCGGAGACATTGCCTATAACGGCTGCGACCCACAGGCAGCATAGAGGGCCGAATAAACTGTCGGAGTAATGGATGAGTTTCGATATCGTTGAGTGGCGGACCAAGGCCGATTGGTGCGGCACCGGTTCCTCGATAACGGCGCGTAACTCGAATTTAATCGCGGCGGCAACGAGCGCGTAAAGTACCATCGTGAACACGGTCGACCCCACCACCACAAACGACTCGAAATGCCGAGAGAAATAGAGCATCAAGAATGTATAAATCGTCCAATTCTTCGATCCGACGAGATGAACGTTGCGGTGTGTGTTTGCGACCTCGTAGAATCGTAACGTCACCATAGCGGCGACGGCCGTTATCGATGCCAACACGACGACAATGCAAATTTTGATGTTCTTGGGTTGACGAGCACTGAGTGTTCCGAGGAGGAGATATAACTTCTCGGTGTGCCGGTTGAGGACGAAGTGGTTGCTAAGCGCCGCGCCCAGGTTCAGTGTCGTGCTCGTCCAAAAAATCGTGACATTCGACAGCGGGCTGATACATTTGAAGTAAATCGAAGCCAGATACAGAATTGTGTGCAACACGTACAGCAGCCGGATGATGAAGAGCCAAAATTGAGTGACGATCGCGCGGAGCGACAAAAGTGAATATGTGAGTCTACCGTTCGACGGAATGCCCAGACCTCCCCCTCCAAGGATTTGGACCAGAGTCAAAGCCGTTCGGAACTCCGGCAGTAGAGGCGGTAAGCCTTGGCTTGAGTCTTCGAACGAAACTTCTTCGATATTCGGGGTGATGGGGGACAGATGAGCGGCCATTTGCTCGGCCCCTGGTGCGGTGTTTTCGACCGATAGCGAAAGGCTGAGATGAGGTCTTGCCGGGTCGTCTTTGCGTAGTTTGCGTCTTCTCGACGACGCTCTTCGTTTGGGCGCGTGAGTTGAGTCTGCCGGAGTCGGCGATGGGGACTCCGGGGGACTCGAAGGCACTTGTTGTGAAGTTTCACTCGGGGGTTCATTGTCGTCCGCTACGGTAATCTCTACATGTGTTGCAGCCGACGAGGTCCTGCAACGAGTCACAGAGCTGTACGAGCCAACAAATTCGAAAAACTCCTTAACAGAAAGATCGAAACGATTTCTGACGATTCAGATTAGCCTGTCTATCTGAACTTACATCCCTAGGTCGATCCTGCCGCTCCCAACGAGGTCGGCGGGGAGGTTCAATGAAAACTGTGTTTTAAAACAGGGTTGCTATTCTCAGGTTTTCATCTCTTTCCTTAGCCATCTCCGGTCCGACAAGTCGAATGGACGCTCATTCTTCCATCGCCTCGCCGCCCGTCAACCTCAGCGACAACTGTGCTGACGACGACGATGGTTTCGAGCTACGGGCCAGAGAGCTCTTGGCCTCCTACCATAGCGGCCCCACACCCTTTCCAAGCCCGTCTAGCGGATAGAGAGAAGGCAGAACCTTACGGAGAGATCGACGGTTCTCAGGTAGGAGACTGAACCGCCAGACTAACAAGAACGAGCTCGCTTCAATCCAGAGCTAAATGTTTTGGACTGGGTACTACATGGTTATCATGTTTCTATTGATTTCAGCCGATCCTCATCGGAGCTCGGCCAGGAGGCTCGCTGTAACGTTGTTATGGAAATGGTCTGTTTATTGTAATTTGAAGAGTCGTTTCCTGAAGGGTAAATTCTCGTGAATGGACCGGCCGCTGCAATAATTCCGACTCATCATGCAAGAGGATCTTCTAGTCGATTATGCTGGTAGAGAACTCACACTTAGTCCGATTATCTGATAGATCGACTTGCGGAGCTTCAAGCGCTCCCCTGAGGAAGTAGGGTGAAGTCACGGCCCCTTGGGAGAGCTCTGACCTCCCCGAGGACTCCCTGAGCTAACCTATCTAGGCTACCCGAAAAGACCGCGGCCTCTCATTTGAGAACACTGCCATGGCTTATTCCGCTCGCGTTCCGCCTCATCGAAAGCTTCACAAGTCGGCACGATTGACACGAAAACGTGAATTTTCTGCCTCACCCCCGCAAGCGCGGAACGCTACATATGGAGCAAAGTCCCGGCATTAAGATCACATAAAGAGCAGCGTCCTGTCACTTTCATTTTAGGCTCCAGGCTTCTACTTCGTCCCCTGAAATCGATACATGTAGGTAGAGAGCCTGAATCGTCACACCTGTCGAGAAACGAGAATTCTCCCGTGCGCGTGAGTTCGCTAAAGAACAGCGCGTAAACGTCCAGCCCGGCTGAGTGATAACTCCTCGGGAATGTCTGCGCGGAATTTCCGAAAGCCGCTTTATCGTCCCAATAGAAATTCCGAAATGGGTTCGAGGGGATTCGGAGCTATCAGAGCTAGAATCTCTCCGCTTTCTCACCGAATCCCGGCGTTGACCCGAATCTGTGTCAAGGAGGGAGCTACCATTTGATGACGTGAATGCTTTGGCACTCCTGAGAGGGCGAGGCGGCTGCGAATCGACGGATCTCCTCTCCCTCGAGACTTCACAATACATCTATCGCTTCGGACGATTCCGAAACGAGAGGCTTCCATTCCGGGAGAAGATCGCCGGGGGTACATCATGAGGAAAAATCATAGATCCCAGCCTGGCTCGAATTGCACTGTAAAGGAGTGTCTCGAAGCTGGACAGATTCGATTCATGAATTATCCCCCCGAAAATATATATACCCAGAGAAATGATCCCCTCGGTCTGAAGTTTGAAACTATCCACAGAAGCGCAGGCGTCGATCCCAGAGGAAAGGAAATTTCGAAAGTAGCTACATAGATAGTGCCTCGATAGAGAAATCCTCACGACGTGGATATTCCCTTGAAGTTTCCAGCCAAAAAGGAATGATGGAAGAGCAAGGAACGGGACACCTATGAACTTCGCTAGCGCTCCCGGGAGGAAACCGACTTAATTTGCCTACATACCCACTCGATTATCTTTTCTCCGCTCAGAAAAGACCCCAACTGACAACCTGCACGATATTTCTCCTATCCTACTAGGCATCCACAAGCATTTCCACCGTTCCCTCCGACTGAGGTAATCTCCGTCCGTGAGTCATGAGGGGATCCAACCTTCACTACGCCATGGATCGTTTCACTCTGGGTCAGCCATTCTGGGATCTTGAGTAAGATGCGCATAAGCATTAGTTCGAACAGCGATTCGGAGCTTCCCTAGAGAATACGGATTTCCCCAGTACAGGCATCCGAAGCTTGTCCAGTATTCCGCCGTTCATTCCGCTCCTTTTCTAGGGCGGCTCTCCAGCAAAGAGCGCAGATTCGCTCTTGCGGTTTGTTTGATGCGACGGGTAGGTTGGTTCTTCAGACCGGACACCTTGCAAACAGATGCTTGAACATATGCTTCTGAACTAATGCAGGCATGCATGGGGCTTAATTTGTGGAGAGGATTGTCTCGGTGATCTTGGTTAATATCAGACGGTCCCCTAGTCGGAGCTTCTCTCTAAGCTCGGGCTCAATGGAGTTGTTCAGCAAACTTTCATAGATACGTGTATTGTTCTCATCTTGGAAGTGACCTCCTTGGCGGTAAGGTCTGATTCATTCGTTGACAGGCTTGAATCTCGTTCTGTCTTCAATAAGAGTGTGCTCGCGATCTTGTCGGAGCGGGGCACGCTTTCTAAGTTGTCCCAAGTAAATCGTAAAACGGTGGTTAGACTGGCTCTCTATCTCTTACCTCAATGGACGTCGAGCGTGGGACAGTTCGCAATGCGCGAGGGTTCTTCTGTCGCTTCTTCGAACGAGGATCTAGCTCACGAATCAGATCTAGAGCTCTCACGTCCCGCGATCGTTGTCTGCTGAAACACCCTATGTCCAGTGGGCTCACCCTCATGGAATCATGACTCCCCTGCTAATACTGTGAGGAGAGCTGACGAATCTCGACAGGGGCATCAAGCCTGCTCGGCTTTCTTCTCATGCTCGGCTCATGGGGACAAGGAGCAAGCACTCGTGCGCTTTTGACGGGGAAGCCCCCCGTTCATGGTCTCGAGATTGTCCTGCGGGCCTTCGAGAAATCAGAACTTTTCTACCTTGCGGTATCTCACCGATCTCAGACCTATTTCAGAATACAGTCTGCCGGCGGATCCACCGCATCGCAGAACGGACCCTTGTTCACGGAAATCGACATATGTCCCATTTTTCTCTTGGTACAGCGTAGCCAACAAGACACACGAGCTGTTTCCTCCTTTGATCTGGATACTTTTTCCGCGAATCTGGGGAAAAATCGCCACCCATCGACGATTTGCTTGGCACAACCCTTGACCTCCTGTCTCTCTCTCTGTCATTTTCTCTCACCCCAACGGATGATTGCAGACTCCGGATGAGCGTAGCTGTGGCTAGTCAATTGGCTCTGCTAGATCTCGCCGATCGCCAGGTTGACTAACTCGGGTGCTCATTTACTCACTCTATCATTCATCCATACATTCATAGGAGCCCCGTCTGACCGGTTGACATTCAGTGTTGTTCCGGATCCTCAGGACGTATTGGGGAGCGATCTCCGGTCGACCATGCTTCAACGCTTCTCTGTGGCTTTAGTGCTGTGCTGTATATTCATTCAACTCCTGGTCATCCATCCGACGGAGTCGAGACCGAAAAAACAGAAACAAGCCGGCCGGAACCAATCGCTCTTCAATCACTACGTCTTCGCTCTCACTACCAAGGGAGGCTTCTGCAACACCTCACGGAAATGCAACAGGTGACTGATTTATATCTGGTATCGTTCCGACTCGATCCGGGCTCCAGCCAGAGCTACCCGCCAGGCTGATTGCACGGTTTTGCGAAGCCCTCTCATATTCGTACGTCTAGACAATCGTAGATTCTTGTCATTGTTGGGATATTCACCCTACGCTCCGCAGGCAAAGCTTCAGAGCAGCTCAATGGACGATTCATGGCCTCTGGCCCAGTAACAGCACCTCGTCCGGCTCCGTGACCTCATGTGCAGCTCGGGAGAAGTTTTCCGTGGAGAAACTCTCACCAATACAGGAACGCTTGAACGACGATTGGCCCTCTTTCCGTGAGAATTCGGAACATTCGATTGCACCCCGGTTTTTGAGCTCCTTTTTCCCGCCCCCGAGCCCTGCCGCTCTTCTTTCTCCACGTGTCCTCAGCGCTCTCAGTTTTTCGAATTTTCAGTCGGCAATAACTCAAAGTTCTGGCATCATCAGTGGTCGAAACATGGTAGCTGCTCCGTGAATCACACTTTGATTAAGACCGTGGCTGATTACTTCAACACTACTCTGGATATCTACAGGTCGGTTTCCGGGTGACCGATTATCTCCTTCCGGTGAAGACAAGACACGTTCCCGTAGTGATCTCTGATAGGTTGCTAAGACATTTCGAAACTCCTTATCCCGAGCTCACTTTATCGAGGGTGCCGCTCCAGAATGACCACGAATGGATGAATGAATCATTCCACCGGCAGGAAACACAACGTGAGCAACTTCCTCATTAATGATAATATCGTACCGCGATTGGAGCCTTACAAGACGAAAGATTTCTTCGAAGCAATCCGCAACGATCTCGATAATAAGAACGTGAACGTAAGTTACTAGTTCTGGGTAAAACGATAATTTGTATAGCTTAGAATAATCCCCGTGTATCGCCCCCGTCGTCGATGGACCGAGGAATTGACTGAATCTTCATCCATATAGGTGATCTGTCGAAGAGCTGCGAACATATCTGTAGTCGTCGAAGTGCGCATTTGTTTGAATGAAACTCAGCTGAATGTTGTCGATTGTCCAAGAAAGCACTCGAGCTGTCGAAAAGATCTGTACTACCTGCCCCCTTTGAGCCCCGGTGGCGAGCCCCCGGCACCGGCGGATACAGCAAAAGTGGTCGCGACCGAGAACTGAAACCGAGGCGTGGCATTCACTTAGCACTCGAATCGAAATAAAGTCGCGATCCATTCAGTGACATAATCGAATCGGCGAATTTTGCGCACGAAAACAGGTTTGATGAGCGGGAAAGTCATGTCGGAAACTAAATATAAGCACCGGAATGAAGCCGTCTACATGGAGTCGTTTAACTGATTTACAATATGTCTATCCCAGAGCGCGTGTGTATCGCTCTCGATTGAAGAGATCCTACGGTTAGAACGTATACCCATAGTTTTCCACTGTGTCTAGCTTGCATTCCTGAGTCTGCCAACCAGTCATAAAATCGTAGAAATCGTCATAAAGCTCAAGCAGCGAACCAGGCTCCGAGGAGCCGCTCGGTCTGCGCCACCCACGGACTCTCTCACGAATGAGGGTACCTCAATCCAATCAATAAATCTGTCGATTCCACTCATCTGTGCGGAGATCAGATTCAAAATCCATGGAAAATACGACTCTCGTCCCCAAATGAGGTCTTACAGCAAAACACGTCTCATAAATTCAAAGCTGATAATGGGAATCCAAAAATTTTCACAATGGATCTCGCCTCAGCAGCTTTACACGAGACGGCTACTCCCCAATTTTATCGTCGGAGCCACCCTGAGGATGGCACACGATTCGATATTTGATGACTTTGCTAAGTGGCGTTCGGTAGCTCAATGTTTGGTTGAGCCAAGTGGAGAACTCTTCTTCTTGCTCCATTCTTCCCCGAAGCAGTGGAGCCCCTCAATGACTTCTCTCATTCGCGCGAAGGTGTCCACACGACGGCAAGGGATCATCCGGCGAGCGAACCGGCCAAGCAACGAACCGAGAAACCACCGGATCGGGCCAAACGGACGTTTGCAGGGCAAATCATCGCCAGTCCTTGTGAGCACCGTCAGAGAGCAACTTGTCTCGTATTTCTCCCCTGCAACTGTGATGTGCATGATAGCGCGAGTGCGCGCGAACGTACTACACTGTCTGACAGCAAGCGTGGAAGCTGGATCCAGGGCGGAGGCTGCTCGGCAGCGACCTCTGATCTGTACCTGTGATGCCCAAATCGCACTCTGATGAACACCAGAAGCTTAGGATAACAATGTGTTGCTACATCCCGTTACTCATCGCAGCTGTGAGTGTTTTCATTCAAATCTAGCTCGTAAATAGATCACAAGAATCGCGGCACCCCATCCGCGGCTCTGCGAATCTGCCATTCATACGAAGCCTTCCGGCGCGTGATCTTAACTTTATCCTCCGTATTCTGAGTCGACAACGTCCCGGATGTCCGAGGGGTCACCATCTCGAATATTCCGAGCGTATTCACATCAATGGCAAGCTAGAGCGCATCCGGGTAGGATTGCTTGAAGCTCCATACGTTGGCACTGTGGGCCCGGATGAAGTATTAGGATGCCCGCCGTCATTCCAGGATTTCCAAGGCGTGATTCTCAGACGACGCGCGACGACTGAATTAGCGTGTGTGCTCTCGATCGAACGTCTCGATGATAACTTCTTTAGACAGCTAAACAATCTGCGGGTGATATCGTTCTGGACCTCCAACCTCGGTTCGGGTCAGCATGGTTTCGAGGCCGGCTATATCCTCCGCATACCCACTAGAATCTCGGGTAACGAGACCCCTTGATAACTGCGAGAACTACGTATCGGGGACATCGCGTGGAATCAGTCATCTTCGAAATTTATATCCCCGACGATGGGATTGCGCTTCTCGCTCATCTCACTCACTGCGTGCAATCCATATCCTCATTCCCTAGGTTATCCATCCGAGAGTCTTGTTCCGTGAAAATCGAAGCTCTTGTGTTAGAAAACTAAAGTTCAATCGCCGGTGCCGATAATTTCGCAAGACTTCAGTCCCCTTCTGCGCGTGTACGCATTCTGCTCCCTCTCACGATCGCAATACCTTGACTGACGGCCCGATGCGTGGAAGTTCGGCTGTTTTCCCACAGTCAGGTGGGAAATTTCGCCCCGATCGCATTCGATTCATTGTCGAGCGTTGACGCCCGCAAGCGCCCTCTACGCCCAGGTCTGGCCTGCGGGACTCCATCGTGACGGGAAGCGGATGTCAAATGAGACGTCCAAGTGACGTCCGGCTAACTACCTGAGAAGCTGGAGAGAAAGTTGAGGCGGACTCGTAAAGGTAGAAGACGCTCGCCGAGGAATTCCGACTAGATCCTGCTCATCCGCGGTGTGTAGTATAGTATCTCAGACTGGTACGCGACTCCACTACATTGCAAGTGAATGGGCTATTTTTAGAACGGGTCCTCTTCGTTTAGTGTACGTCAGGCACTGGAAGAACCCCCCCAAGACCGATTTACGTCACGGGGGAGGTCGATGTAGAATGCAGTGCGCGCGCAGCCTTGGTCCCGCCCGCGAGAAGAGCGCGGGACGTGCAGCACCAACTGTTGCACTTGGTGCTAGTCAAGATTGCTATATGGTTGCTGCTCTGAAAAACGGGGAGACTTGAGCGAGTGAAGTCGGTTGACGTTCCGCTCGAGTCGAACTTCTTGGCCCAGTGCTATGAGGTTTTGACTTTGTCGGCCTCTAATTCTACTCATTCCGATACAGCATACCTACTATGTGGTCTCTACTACTCGTCTCGGTGAGTACTCTCTCAGCTGAGGAGACTGGCCCATGCAACTGTTCGTTATCCATGAGTCTCAAGCGAAAGGAAGGATAGGTACATTCCCTGCATACAGACGTTTTTGATCGCTCGATAGACTCTCCGTTGTGATGACGAGTCGAGACAAAACAAATCGCCGATCGGATTGATCGGTTTTCGGGACGTACCGAGCCAGTGCGTCGGAGCCGTTCTCCCGCGATGGCGAAACTGGACACGATCGTAGATTCACCGACCAATCGAACGATGGAACCCTGGAGAACACAATTGACCCCATTGGAAGCGTCCGGTACTGCCGCAAGGAGTGGAGCGCGAATCTTCCAGACGGCGCAGACGCTTGTTCTTTCTGCTGTGTTCTGGATTCCTCGTCGATCGCCCTGAACACCTATGTACATGTGTCGAGAATGTTTTTTTGTCCTAGCCAATAGGGTATGCGGGACCGATGTTGTATGCGCGTCGAGTCATGCTCGGCAGAATGTTTTCCTTCCGGTCAAGCGAATCGCTCCCTGTCCCCGCTGCTGGACCATTGGACTGCATTCACAGCTCCAATCGAATGCCGAAGTGACTCCATCCGTGCGATAGACGTTCGGGAAGCGATCTCTCAGCTCCGTCGATGCATGCGTGGGACCCCGAGTCTGGATCGCTCCATATGGCTCCGGACTACCGCTGGCTACCGGGGCCGAGAACAAACTCTGCAACAATGGCAGGTGTGTTGATTGACGGGATCGCTTCTTACAAAAACATGGACTGAAGACGCCGGATCAATCTTCGGAGCCTAACTGCAGCTAACAACTCGATTTAGCAAGCGAAGTCTAGCCGTGCCATCGAGAATGACCGTCACCAAGGATTAGTTGCCGAAAGTATTCCGCGGTAGGTCTCCGTCGGCGTCGTGAAGTCGATTAAGGATAGCGTATGGAGTACTCAATGGCGGCGACTCGGCGCGCGCCCTGGCCTGATTCCCGACCCGTTGACCGTCAACAATCGACGTGAGAAAGGAGGAGGATCGACGCGCGGGAAGAAGCTTGGAATATGTTTCTCAATAACTTCCGGATGTATAATCCATTCGGATCAATAAGCGGCCGATGGAAATCACTCCTGCAGAAGCCCAAGGAAAACCAGAGCTCATTTATACAGATATAGATAGAATAGATAGATATAGGGTATAGATTGGGCTGAAACCTCTCGGTGACTTCGTTCCGCACGCTAGAACATCTACCTCCCCCTGAGTTTCTGAAAACGGAAACCTGAGGACACTTGACCGGTGTCTCGTATGTACAGAGAGTCTCGGCCGACTTCACTTACGTCTGCATCGATGCTCTCTGTATATGCATGTTCTATCCGACGATTCACCAGGAACTCCGATGCAGAGTCTCGGTATCTGTTGGACGTCTGTTCTGGTCGACGTCGTTGGCACTATAGCTGCCGCCACTGTTGTTGTAGAGCTCATAGTGGACGACGTGCACGTCGGCGCAGCCGTTGTCGCTGCTGCCGCGGCGGCGGCAGCTGCTAGAGTTGTCTATTTTCGGAATGGGCGTTCCCGTTTTGTGGACACAATAGAGATATTTCGGGCGTTTCAGACGCTAGATGCTTCAGCCCCGCCTCCCGGCGACCGACGCCGAGGGCTTCAGTGACGGGGCCGCCTCCTTATTTTCCACGTGCGTTGGTCGCCTACAGGACGCGTCGCAGCGAGTACTGACGTTCATAGGGGTCCAACTTTATCCAATTCACCCTTGAACGTCGATCCTGTGATTTTTCCATCAACTCTAACCGTAGAGAGTTGATGGAAAAAAAACTCTTCCCGGCTCGACGTCCTCTGCGTGTCAAAGGAGGATGAGCTCGTTTCCCGGTTTTTCCACCGTGGGATCACTGGATCCGTGAAATCGTCCCCGCGCTCGCCTCCAACTCTTCACGTGATCGATGCCGATTGGGCTGTCCAATGAGTTTCGAACCAGTGGTGCGATTTATCCGAGCAAGGGATCATACGCCCTTGGAGCCCATCTGATTCGAGCCGCGTTATGTTCTCCTGAGGAGCGTCGAAAGAGCTAAAGCACGCTTCGAAAAGCTTAGGGGTAGCCGTTATTGCTTGTCGCTTCATTAGGTCCCCGCGCTATACAAACGGAAGATGCTGCGGAACACGGCGCGACCAGCCGGTGAGACGCCCCTCTACGAGATGATGTTCCTTAGTCAGCTTCAGCAAGCATGCACCCTGGCCACGCAAAGCCGATTGGGGACTTTCGGGAGCGAATAATTCGAAGACTTCATTCGCCGGCAGAGCTCTATCAGAAGTCATTGATCGGAACTGTAAAATGATACATTGTTTACGGGGAATTTTAATTGATCACGTCAGAGGGCAGAACTTTAACGATTCTCCAACTTCGCTTCCCCGAACGAAGGAGTCCGCGACTTACGAGAGACAACAACGCTCGACGTAAACCCCCAGTCAGCCTCGTTCGACGCGTTTTGGCGAAGCAACGAAGAACCCACGCAGAGTTCCCGGCTCCAGAGAGCAGTCGCGGAAAGTCCGGACACTCATCCGGATAATGACGCGGCATCGGGCTGTAACCATTTCGCAGAACACTTCCTCACGCGCTGAAAACGTGCATCTCCGTGGGCGCATTGATTCGAATGCTCCCGCTGACGTGAGTTCGTCTCGCATATTACACCTCAACGTGTGTACCAAGGGAGGCGCTTCGGAAAGTTGACAGTGACCCAATTATCGAATCCTTCGCTTTCGTCGGCCCCATCCGCCGC